AGGAGATGTGAGAGGAGCACGAGTGTTTGTGTGCTTCGGGTCTGGTGCGAGGGGGAGTGTTGGAGAAGCGAGTTTCTGCCGCCCCAGCCCTTTGCACACAAGGAGCAGCAAGGGGGGAATGTCGGCGATGGATCAGAGGCTTCGCGAAATGCTTCGGAAGTTCCACCACCAATCAGATTTCAGCCGAAGACTCGATACAGTTCAGAGCTGTCTTCAAACCGAAATGTTGGCAGTTTCTACAGGTTTCTACACATCAGAATCAGCTATAACAGAAAAATCCAGAGACTTCTCATTCATGCACCTCATGTGGCTCTCAAAGTCATCCAAGGTCCATGCAGCTGAATTGTGCCCAAGTTCCCAAGGAAGTTGCCTTGTCTAGCAGCCTGGTTTGAGCTATCAATCTTCATGTTTGTAATGCATATGGAGTTGTGCTTTAGTGGGCTTGTACAACCTTGATCATAGTGAAGTTTTACCTCATCCAGTCAGTCCAGCAGCCCTGCTAAGACTTTCCAGCCAAGTTTCCAACCTTTCCAGCAGTCACAGCTACTCTGTTTTACAAGTTGGTATCAGAGCTCGTCGTTTCGATCAACCTAGCCCACCACGTTCCTATCCTAGAACTAAACGGACATGGCGGGAGACAATCCTTCTGGACCTGCACTCCAGCCAGCCGGAGGAGCTTCAGAGTCAACATCAGCAGCTACTGGATTAGTGGAAGCAGTTGCACCAGGCAGTTCTTCAACAACATACTCACCACTCACCTCCTTCATGCCTAAGCTTCACCTTCCCAAGTTCAACGGCAAAGATTTTCCAACATGGGCAACTCAGTTTGAGCTCACTGCATCCCTTCTGGATTTGTGGCCTTACTATACTGGAGAAGCAGCCAAACCAGCAGCAGATGCTTCAGAAGCTGAAAAACGTCAATACGAGCGGCGCAACAAGGAAGCCTTCCTCTACCTACTCAATAGCATTCACGAGCAGCAGTTGAAGTCACTCCTACCCTGTTCTACCAAGGCAAACAGTGCGGAGGAAGCATGGAGCCGACTGAAGTCTATGCACCAGTCAAAATCCGAGAGCAGCCAAGCTGAGATGTGGAGCCGCTTCATGAATTTGAAGATGGAAGAAGATGAATCAGCACAAGCATACCTTCAACGAGCTGAAACGATGCTGGAGGAAGCAGCAGCGATCGGCTTGGAGATCCCAGAGTCTCTTTTCAAGACCGTCATCCTCACTGGCCTTACACCGGAGTGGGACACTTTCCGTGCAACACTACAAGCGCTCCCGCAGTCAATGAAGACTCGTGCATTCATCTTCGAAGCCCTTGTCAACGAGCAGCAGAGTCGAGACCTTGCACGGAACAAGCGGAGTGACGAAGGTGCGTGGAGTGCTGCAGCGGCAACACGATATGGCAACCAATTCCAGAGGCAAGGAAACTTCAGCTCAAACCGCCCTCAACCTTACTACGGTACGAAATTTCAGTCACCTTCCAATCCCTACAACCCCTCTCGTATTCCTCAGTCAAGTCATCCCCTTAAGCCAAGTCCTAATCTTCAGCCAAGGTCTTCCATTCCCAATCAATTTCAGTCTAGGAATGTGAGAGCAAATCCTTTAAGAGTCAATAATTTCAGTCAAGGGTCAAATGCTAAAAAGTTTAATTTTGAGTGCTTTTGTTGTCATGAGTGGGGTCATCCGTGGTATGCTTGTCCTAAGAAGCCTCCTAATTGGGTCCCTCCACCTCAGCTACTTTCTGAAAAGGGTAAAGCAGTCATAGCAAATATAGCAAGCCATGCTACGAGTCAAAATGAGTCCAAAGATTCTGACGGTCCTGTCCTTTTCAACGCTGCTACTTGCATGCATGTTTTTTCTACTAGTAGTGAGGAGTTTATTCTTGATAGTGGCTGTTCTGAGACCATGACTCCCTATCATTCCATTCTCAAGGATTTTCAGCCCTCATATGACTCAAAAGCGGTGACTCTTGCCGATCTTGGCAAAGTCCCTATCAAAGGAGTCGGCAAGCTTGAGTTTGAGAAAGATGGTAAGTCATTTTGTGTCAATAAAGCTTTGTTTGTCCCTGATTTGGGAGCAAACTTGCTCTCAGCTGGACAACTTGAAGAGAAAGGTGCCTCTGTTCTTTTGCAAGGGGGGAAAGCCAAAGTGTGGGATAGTGCAGGAAATTTGGTGGCTGAAGGCGAGCGTACCGGGCGTCTCTACAAGATGAAGTTGGAGATCAAACGCGGTTCTAGCAACACGAAGAACGACGTTGTCTCGCTTCCCGCTGTTTCAACCGATCAAGTCAACAACAAAGGGAGTATCTCCCAAGCCGAGGTATGGCATGCACGCTTGGGGCACTTGGGGATGCAAGCATTCAAAGAGTTAGTAAGTCACAAGAGCGTGGAAGGACTTACTTTGAGTGAAAGTGCAGTCAAGTCTCTTTCTACCGTCCCATGCCCATCTTGTGTTGAAGGTAAGCTAGCTAGAAAGCCATTTTTCCCTTCTAAGTCTCAGTCAAGGGACCTCCTAGAGTTGGTCCACACTGATGTGTTCGGCCCCATGCGAGACCCTACTCGAAACGGTAAGAGATATTTGGTGTCTTTCATTGATGACAAGAGTCGTTTCTCATGGTCCTTTTTCATCAACACCAAGGATGAAGTTCATAAGTGCTTCAAGCAATGGCTAGCACTTGTTGAGAGAGAGTCAGGGAAGAAGTTACTCACCTTGAGGTCGGACCGAGGAGGTGAGTACATGGGAAAAGCGTTCCAGGGGGAGTTGTTGTCATTGGGCATCAAGCAACAATTCACTTGTCCCTATAGTCCTCAGCAAAACGGAGTGGCAGAGAGGTTTCATCGCACTATTCAAGCTATAGCTACCACTTTTCTTCAGTTTAAGGGCCTTGACAAGCTCTGGTGGGGTGAGGCAATCACTATGGCAATCTATGTTCGCAACAGAAGGCCAACAAGGCCTCTACCGGATGGTGTAACGCCATATGAGGCTTGGTTTGGAGTTAAACCAGATCTGTCTATGCTCCGTGTTTTTGGTTCCATGGCCCAATACCGTGTCCCAGATGCAAAACGACTCAAGCTGGACAGCAAAGCTCATTGGGGCCTCTTCATCGGCATGAGCAATGAGAGCAAGGGATGGGTCCTTTGGGATCCCGTCACCAAGCGAGAAGTGGTTTCAAGGGATGTTGTCTTCTATGAAGACATGTCCCTTGCAGATTGGCACAAGTATTCCTCTTCCTCCTCTCTACCACCCTCTATCCAACAGGAACCAGCAAGAGCACCTGAGGAAACAACACAAGAGGAGGAAGATGACAACGTTTCTGACCATAGCGGACCGATCATCGATCTCCCTCAAGCCGTCGGCAACGAGACCAGCCGTGCCACACCAGCGCCACCAGCAGCTACACAACCAAGTGGAGATGAAGTTCAGCTATCAAATGAAGACCATCCACCTCAGGAAGTCACCGTTCCATCACCGCCAAAGGAGCAGCAGCCAACATTCACAAACCAGCCAGCTACTTCAACACCAACCTCACAAGTTCAACGCCAACCGGATCAGCCCACCACTACGCCACCAAACCCATCATCAGCCGTCACTCCAGAGGCAATTACAGAAGCTCATCGTCATCCCATGCAGCAGCAACCAACAGCTACAAGTTCCCAAGTACCTACATCAACACCATCTACGACCCTTCCTAGCAACAAGTCAACCGTCACCGCAACACCTCGTTCTCATACCACACGTTCATCACTTCAACTTCCAACGTCAAGCCAGCTCATAGCACGAGGATCACTTCAGCGAGTCTCCACCAACACCAGCTCCAACAGCCCACTTCTTCACCCAAGACCTTTCTCAACTTCACCCCCACGTCCCGGATTTGGTCGTCATCAGTTACCGCCATCTTCAACACCGAGCAACAACACCAACCAGCCCCAACCATCACCATCTCTCGACAACGCAGCGTCATCATCAATTCCCAAGCTTCTAGTCTCACGATCCCCACCACGAGCATCTTCACAACCAACTATGCCGACGAACGTTTCAGCTTCACCGCCACGAGCCACCACTCCTATTCCTCAAGTCAACACCGATCATCGAGAGAGTTCCAAGCCGGGAGAAGATCATGCAGCCGTGCCGCCGTCGCAGCCGATGTCGAAGCCGTTGTCTCAGCCGCAAATGACAGTGTCAATGCATCCAAACACTGTGAGACCGAACCCTACCACTGATGTGTCTCAGCCAAGTGAGGAGTTGGGTAAAGGTAAACGAGTCCGCAAGGTGAAAAAGCCCTTCACATTCATGGTTGACATGTCATCAAGGTGCACATGTGAGGAGAGCGAGAATTGCATTCACAAGAAGGTAGAGGCAATATGCATGGCAGCATCACACCTTCCACGAGAGCCCTTGAGTCGTCGTGAGGCAATGGCAAGTCCTGAGAGAGAGCATTGGTTGAAAGCCGAGGAAGAAGAGATTGAGAGTCTCATGAAGCGAGGTACATGGCGTCTTGTTGAGCCACCTCCAGGGAAGAAGGTAATTGGTGTCAAATGGGTGTACAAGATCGTTCGACTACAACTGTGTACATAATGCTTATATCGCTCTCGAAAGTCTAGAAGCTCGTCAAAGCACAGTGCCATACTTGTGGGTGCTAGGAATATGGATGGGGCCAATATTTGGCAGCAACTCAAGGCAGACCATACAAAATACTCCGATTAGATTACAGCCCACCGATTCCTCCACACCATAGACAAAAAGGAGGTGAATAAATACATGCACGGAGCTTTGCCCCGTAACCTCTGTCATTGGCATTGATGCGATAAGGTCAGCGTGACGACTTTATTACCGTAACAGCTTCGCGCGAGGCACCTTGGGAACGGTAGATAGGTAGGCGTCCATGTGCCGACAGCTAGAGGCAGTTAGTAGTTGGACGGGGAAAACCCATGGGTTAGTGTTAGAACTTTGCAGCAGCAGAAGCAACAGCAGCCACACCAGCAGCAGAAGCGTGTGCATCAGCTGCCCCGGTGGAACGGCAGCAGGCAAGACAGACCCCCTCCCGCACCTCTCCTAGGAGCCAGCCCCAGCCTCGCCTCCAGCTCAGCAAGCCTCTTCCTCTTCCCCTCCATCTTCTTCCCCACACCCGCACCTTTACTCTCCAACGCAGCCATTCTCGCGACAATCCTCTCAGCCCTCTCCACCAGACTCTGCCCCTCCACCACCTCCTCTTCAACCTCTGCTAACATCTCCCCCACCGCTCCCGCCTCCGCCTTCCTCCCCGCCTTCCCTCTCCGGCCCTGACCCCCCGCGGCCCTCTGCTGCGCCTCAGCAGCCAGCGCAGCTCGCTCTCTCACCCCCCGCATGGCGATTCGCAGCGCGTCGCGGCTCGCCTGGAGCTCTTTTAACCCCACAGCTGCCCTCGCCTGCAGGGCTCCGCTGCTAGCTATGGGAGTGGCGCCGGAGAGGAGCAGATGGCTGTCGGAACGATCTGTGGTTGACGATGCGCACGACTCCCCTCTCTCACCTCTCTCCCCTCTCCCTCTTCGCTTCGTGTTCCCTCGTTGCTTCCTGCCCTTGCCTGCCCCCGCGCCCGCCTCCATCTCTGCAATCTCGTCCCCTTCCTCCTTCAACTCCTCCTCATCGCTCTGCCCCTCCTCCTCGCCTCCCCCCACTCCGCCTGCATCCGCTTGACTAGCACTTGAACCTGCTGCACCAGAGGAAGTAGTCTCAGTAGCGCCTCCCTTCCCTCCACCACCAGAATTACTCCCATCAGCAGCACCACCACCACCAGCAGCACTGGCAGCGGCAGCCGCAGCAGCAGCAGCCGCAGCCGCCGGCGGCGGCAGCAGAGGCAGCAGCAGCCTGCCGTTGCTCCATCAACTGAGCCTCCATTTCCCTCAACCTCGTCTCAGCCCTTCTAGCCCTATCCATAGCCATCTCCATCGCCCTATCCTTCACCTCCACCACCTTTCTAGTCAGCTCCAGGCACACTCTCAACTGCATGATCCTTCTCCTCATCTTCTCGTAATTCCCCACGAGTTTCCGCGACTTTCCAACCTGCTCTTGCAATCTTGCTACCTCTTCTGCTAGCCGTTCGTTCTCCTCCTGTAGCAACGCAAACTCCGCCTCCTCCTCTTCCCGCTCCAAGTCCTCATCCCCCGCACCTCCCGCTATGTAATACAAAGATGCGATTTCCTTTGCGGCCCTCCACGCTCCGCTGCGAGGGACCGGAACTGAGAAGGAAAACTCCGAGTCTGTCGCCAGTCCCTCCTCCTCCTCCTCTTCTTCCCCTTCCTCTAGGCCTTCCCCGCCTTCCCCGCTCTCCGCACCCTGCTCGTACTGCCCCCCTCCCCCAGCCATGCGCGAAGGCTGCTGCTGGTACGGGTACTGGTGGTGCAGGGGGGAGTGCTGTGGGGGAGGAGTGAATGTGAGCGTGGGGGACGTCCCCGCTAGTCCGCTTGGGCTCTCCCCCTCAATCCCACTCCCTGCCATCCCATACGCGCCACCCATGCGCGCGTTCCCCCCTACTGCTCGGTTATCTGCGCCCATTCTCCCCCCGCCTTCCCCAGGGCCCACCCACCCTGTCCGCTGCGCGCCTATAGTGCTGCCCAGGACGCTACTGCCCGTCAAGATGCTGCCCGTTATACTGCTGCCCGCCATGCTGCCCACCATGCTGCCCGCCAAGCTGCCCGTTTCGAAATTATTCAGTCCCGCGCCCTGTCTGCGCGCCTGCGCCTGGAGAGGCGGAGACGCCTCCCCCTCCTCATACGACTGACTCACACTCTCCGCGTCCCCGCTCTCCCCCACACTCCCCCCCTCGCTCTCCCCCTCCGCGCTCCCCTCTCCGCCCTGCCCCCCGCGCGCCGCCTTCCCGCTCGCCTCAAACGCAAAGTTATCCTCCTCCGCCTCGGACCCGCTCTCCCCCACCGCGCGCGCGGCCCCCCCCGCGCCCGCGCCCGCGCGCTTGGCCATGGCGGCGAGCTGGCGCGCGAGTAGCGCGTTGTGGTCCTTAAGGCGGTCGATCAGCTGCGCCGCCAGCTCCTCGCGCTCCGCCGCCGCCTCCGCCTCTTCCGCCAGCCGCTCCACCTCCTCGTCAACGCGCGCCATGGCCGCGCGGTGCGCGCGCTCGCGCTCCGCCGCCTCGCGCACCGCCGCCTCCATCTGCACGCGCAGCTGCTCCGCGACCCCCGCGCCCTCCGCGCGGAACGCCTCGAGCGCGCTCCAGAGCTCGTCCGCGTCCAGCTGCGCGCGCTCCACGTCGCGCTGCAGCGCCGCGTTCGCGCGCTCCGCCGCCACGCGGCGCAGCCACTCCGCCTCCGCCACCGTCTCCGTGCTGCGCAGCAGCTCGCGCTCCCGCCGCAACTCGTCCTGCACCTGCTCCATCTGTTGAGGGGTGGAGGAGGGAGAGTGAGACAGCGGAACAACTAAATGCGCATTCATGTCCGCACACCCCTGCAGCAGCTCGCGCTCCCGCCGCAACTCCTCCTGCACCTGCTCCATCTGTTGGGGGGGGGGAACGCGCGAGGGGGGTTGCAGGGTAGGAGGTGTGAGGATATGCGGAGAAGAGTGGGGGTGAGAATGGGTGGGGTCGTGATAAGTGCACCACAGAAGGGGAGTCCCCCAACCCCCAATCCGCGCAACCCCCATACACGCACCCCCCTCCCGCGCAACCCCCGTCAACGCACCCCTTTCCCGCACAACCCCCGTCCACGCACCCCCCTCCCGCGCACCCCTCCATCCGCGCCACCTCAATGGTCATGGCGGCGGAGCGCAACCCGAGCTCTTCGACGCGCTTGATGGCGCGCGCGAGGTCCTCTTCGAGCGCACACACCCCCTTCCCTCCCCCCTCCCCCCCCCCGCGCACCTCGATGGTCATGGCGGCGGAGCGCAACCCCAGTTCTTCTACGCGCTTAATGGCGCGCGCAAGGTCCTCTTCGAGAGGACACCGCCATTTCCTCCTCGTCCTCCTCCGCCTGCTCCGCCATGTCCTCGATGCGCGCCTGCAGCAGCTCCACCTCCGCCTCCTGCGCGCGCACGCGCGCGTCCGCCTCCTCGCGCACCACGCGCTGCTCCTCCGCGAAGGCTTCCGCCAGGGAGAGCGCTGCGGGGGATGGGGGAGGGAGAGGGGGACAGCGAACGAGATGGTTCGCGGAACGGGGGAGAGAGGGCGCAGGAGGGGGCGCGGGAAGGGGAGCGCGAGATGCGGTCCCCCGGGGCCCCAGACGGCGGAGTGCGGATGGGCGCAGCGAGGTACAGGGAAGAGCGGCGGTAGAGAGCAGAACGAAGCGCATGCCGCACAGGTGATCGCGGGGGTGTGAGGGAAGAGAGCGAATGAGAGGCGAGAATGAGAGGCAAAAAGGAGGGAAAAATTAGCTGCTATTGGGATATGCGGCCTGCTGGTCCCCTCTCCTCCTCCCCCGCCCTCCACCTCCCCATCTCCCCCACTATCGCTCACCCTCTCCCGCACCCCTTACACTCCCCTCGCCCCTCCCACTTCTCCCCCCTCCCCGCGCCTCACCCTCGCGCGCGTCCGCCAGGCGGTCCTCGAGTGCCTGCAGTTGCCCGCCGAGCGCGTGGCCCCGCCGTCTCGCATATCCTCACACCTACTTCTCCCTTCCCCCCCCCCTCAACTGCCCCTCAACCTTCCCGCCACGCCCCTCTCAGCTCCCTCGCGCGCGCCCCCCTTATCTACCCCCGCGCCTCACCCTCTCGTGCGTCCGCCAGGCGGTCCTCGAGCGCCTGCAGCTTTCCGCCGAGCGCGCAACCTCGCATATCATCAGTATCCCCACTCCCCTTCCCCCCTCCCTTCACCCTCTCCCCCAACCCTCCCCCCGCGCCTCACCCTCGCGCGCGTCCGCCAGGCGGTCCTCGAGCGCCTGCAGCTGCCCGCCGAGCGCGTGGCCTTGCCGCGCGTCGCTCAGCTGCTCTCTCAACTCGCGCAACTCCTGCTCCAACTCCATCTCCTGCGCACGAGCGAGCGAGCGAAATGAGTGGGCAGGGGGCGGAGGGGCGGAGGGACGGAGGGGCGGAGGGGTGGAGAGGGGGAGGGGTAAGGAGTGAGAGCGTCGCTCAGCTGCTCTCTCAACTCGCGCAACTCCTGCTCCAACTCCATCTCCTGCTCCGCCGCCGCGCGCCCCGCACACACCGCGCACGCCGGGTTGGAGGAGGAACGAGAGGGCGGGGATGAGCGGAGGGAGAGGGAAAATGAGCGTGAGGCCATGGTGAGAGTGCCGAGAAAGGAGAGTTAAGGAGGAGAGGAGGGGGCCTCCGCGAGGAGAAGAAAGGAAAAAAGGGGGAAGATGGGGAAAAAGGGAAGGAGGAGAGGGGAGGGGGGGGGGGAGGGGGGCGAGAGGGAGAGGAAGGGACTGGGGGAAGAAAGGGGAAAAGGAGGGACGGAAGCGGCGGGGGCGTGGGGGAAGGCGGGGGAGAGGCTGTACTTTTCTCGTCCAGACGGCTTCTTTGTCTTTATTCGACGCCAACAGCATCGTCAGCTCATCTTCGTGGAACCGCCTCGCGCGATGCGCCTCTTGTCGCTCCGCCTCCACCTCCCGCGTGAGCTCCTCCACGCGCTGCGCCAGCTCCGCCTCTCGCTCCCCTCCCACGCCATACTGCGCGCGCTCTATCCCCGCGGGGCCCGCCTTCTGCCCCAAAAAGCGAGCGAAAAAAGCGAGCCACGGAAAAGAACGGGGAAAAACAAAGAGAGGTGCGGATGAAGCCGGGAACGCTAAGGGTACGCAGCGAACGGCGCCGGCAGAAGCGGGAATGAAGCGAGAGAAGCGCTCAGCATGGCAAGCGAGACAACACGACGAATTGTCACTATCGCGAATTCTAACGAAACGGATCAAGCGGAAATGGAAAGATATAAACCACCTCTAATCGGCTCCGCAGCTCCGCGCACTCGGCCCGCGACGCGCGCAGCTCAAGACGGAGTCGATCCGCCTCTGACGCCATCAAAGGACAGATTGCTACACCATAGCTCTCGACGCCGCGTTCCTTCAAACACTCTTAGAACAACAACTCTCGCTATAAAATCGGTGGGCGAAAGCTCGTGACAAGTGGCTAGCGGATGAGAGTTAGGTAATTCGGCAGTGGTTGTTGTGACAACTGCTCTGGATCATTGCGGCGAAACCCTAGAACTGATTGCGGCAGGGAGGAAGGGTGGTGGCTGGTGGGTCGTCCAGATTGGCACGGCGCACAGCGACGGAGAACGCGTTTTGCCTGGCGGGGCGGGTAGGAGAAGCGGCCTTTCGGAAATGTCACTTGAGGTTTCAGTTGGAGTCACTTTCCACTGGGTTCTTTTGTCAAGCTCGGGGGTAGGGGTAGGTGTGAGAGTGGTTTTGTAGTAACCGTCAGCAATCAGGACGACTCTTGGTGGAAAACAACTGCGCGATACTTAGTCAAGGATTTGGAGTGGGAACGTAAAAGAGCAGGTTGCAGGTAAACAGCTGCGACCGCCTTCAGATTCTCGCATTTCTCCTACCAAATAGACCTCGCTTGTATCCGTCCAGACTGGCCTTGCCAGCTCGTGGTGTGGAGACAGGGAGCAAGCCCCAGCAGGACACCTGCCCTTGTGGTGCAATCAAGCGAAGTGAGAGGCACTGTACGGCTGGGCTGACCACGAACAAGGAAATGCAAAGGCGAGTCAGCAGCATGCTCCAGTGATTCTTGGGGAAATGCTCAGAAATTGGGCAGGGAAAAAGTGGAGGAGGCCCTTGAGAAATGCCACGTGGGGTTTGGTCAGCTGAACAAGTGCCGCACGTCAGGGGGCAGACACCCTACAGACCGGAGTGCGCGAAGCACTCGCCGCCACGGTGTCACCAGGAACGCGACGTAGGTTCTCATTTCGTGGAGCTGTTACTGGTTGATTACGAAAAGGCGGCCCAACGGCGGCGAGAGGTTTTGAGGGTTGGCTTGGGAGCTTGAAAGAAACGCTGTTTTTGCTGTTTAAAATTTATTGTTGAAATTATTGAAGCAACTCATTGTGAAAAAAATAACTCACGGAGCCTAGATACGTTGACTATTCGCTACTGAAAGCTATAAATACATATAAAAATTTCTAAATATTTTTATTATTATGAGATAACTATTCAGGCGTAGAACATCTTTGCTGGCAAAAGGCAGCGATTTCTCATCACATGTAGGTATCAAAGACATTTCGATACCTAGAAACTGCTCTGATCAGGGATGTATGCATGTGTCAGTCGGAGTCGAGCCAAAGCAGACCCCGACTCGTTCGCGCCCCTCTGACAGCTGAAGGAGCCAAGTGCTGGCTATCCCCACGTGTGGCAGCGCTGCTGAAGAGCGCCGATGTTGGATACTTTCTGAGTGTTCTCCCATTAGTTCGCTTTCAACCGAGTCATCCACAAACTCGTGAAACAATTCGCTAATACGCGCAGCTTTCCTGGAGATTGTCGAGCTGGCATTATACTCACACGCCGAGCATCACAGCTCTGCTGCCAAGTGACGGCTACTGATTGGAGAAAACCAGCAAGGCAGAAGTCATGTTTTCAAATTGCGTGTCCTCAACAGGTTTGTTCATTGAACTCTGCCAATACATCTGTAACAGTTTTGTACAAATGCATTAGTTTAAAACAATGGAGGTTCAATTGTGCTATGTTCAAAGAACCAGCGGAAGAGAAACTAAAGTTGAATTATCCCCGCATGTGCAGTCGTCAACGGGCAGCGAGGGAAAAAGGTGCGATTTGATGAACAGTCGCCGAGGTACCATGTGGGTCAAGGCTTCAAATCAACCAATTCCACGTAGCATCCGCGTGTGCAGTCCGAGCCGCTTCATCCATTCCCCGTCGACTTCCCTCCTTTCCCCATTTCTCGGCTGCAGGTGCCCTCCTATCCCCCCTCGGCTCCCTTCCCTTCCCCTCCCTTCCCTTTCACTGCCATGACAACCACGCTCTTCCTATCTTTCATCACAAATTGAAGACAATAAAAAGCCCGAGCTCACTCAATCATCCCAACCAACGTCGTATTCTGGATTCAGACTACTCTTTGCTAGCTCGTTCTCCTCCCAACCAAGTACTGCATTCACAGCATCACTGATAGGCATAATGGCCGCTGCAACCACCTCCTTGCGCCTCGCCCCTGCGTGCACCACGCTCCGAGCAGACCCCACGCGGTCGCTGAAAGGCGCGACCACCGTGAAAGCCGCTCCGAAGCGCCAAAGAGCCGGCGCAGCTCGTGCCGCAATGTTGGAGGCGCCCCCGGTCCCAATGAAGAGCCACGAGGAGAAGAACCTGTACGTTCCTCCCTCTCTGCCCGTGCCGCCCGTTCTTCCCGTTGCAATCATTTCCCCGTCTCTCCCCTTGTGCTTCCCTCATTTCGTGCTCTGCGGCTTCGTTGAATGGCCACGTTGAGCAGGCCGCACATCGAGCAAATCAAGGCGCTCTCGCTAGTGACGGCAATCAAGACGCCGTATCTGCCGGACGGGCGGTTCGACATCGACGCGTACGACTACCTGGTACACCACCAGATCGAGAACGGCACGGAGGCCATTATCGTGGGCGGCACGACGGGCGAGGGGCACCTCATGAGCTGGGACGAGCACGTGATGCTTATCGCGCACACGGTGTACTGCTTCGGCGATCAGATCAAGGTTATTGGGAATACCGGCAGTAACAGCACGGGCGAGGCGATGCACGCGACGGAGCAGGGCTTCGCGGTCGGCATGCACGCGGCGCTGCAGATTAATCCGTACTACGGCAAGACCAGCAACGACGGAATCATTCAACACTACAAGTAAGTGCGGTTCGAGTGGCGGGCCTGGTGCTTGTTAAAGAACCCATGCACTGCCGTAACAAGGCATACTCAGTTACGAACCGCGGCCTGTCGCCTACCTTTTCGCCTTGTAACCCCGAATCTCTCCCCTTTCCCCCCGCCGTTGGTTGCGCGAGCGCAGGGCGGTGCTGCCGATGGGTCCGGCGATCATCTACAACGTCCCCGGCCGCACGGGGACCGACCTGACCCCTGAGGTGATCGACGAGCTGGCGAAACACGAGAACTTCGCGGGCGTGAAGGAATGCGTGGGCAACGAGCGCGTGTCGACGCACACCAGCAAGGGCATTGTCGTGTGGAGCGGCAACGACGACCAATGCCACGATGCCAAGTGGAAGCACGGCGCGAATGGCGTCATCTCCGTGCTCAGCAACCTTGTTCCTGGTATGTGCCGCCCCGTTATTGAAGAGGTTTCAATTCCAAAACATAATGGCCAATGTTCGATCGTCAAAAGCCATCTTCGTGCTCTGGCCGTCAGAAGCAACCGTGTCCCTGGTGGGTGCCGTCCCAGCTCGCCTTTCGAGCGCGCTCCTCTGCTTCACACCACTATGCCACCTCCAACCATGTCTCCTCTCTCGGGTTTCCTACCGCCCTCGTCCCCACTCCGCCCTTGCGCGACATTCCGCTCAATCCCCCCTCCTCTCGTGACATCTTTCCTGCAACGCCTCAAGCTCTCCGCATCTTTCCCCCTCCCCCGCTCCCCCCGTTTTCCCCCGCGCAGGGCTGATGCACGAGATGCTGACGACGGGCCCGCATCCCGAGCTCAACAAGAAGCTGGCGCCAACTGTGCTTCATCCCCCTGCCTTTTCCCCAACTGTCCCCCCTCCTTCTCCCGCTCTTCCCCCGCTATTCCCCCGCTCTTCCCCCCCTCTTCCCCCGCTCTTCCCCTGCGCAGGGCTGGTGCACGAGATGCTGACGACGGGCCCGCACCCCGAGCTGAACAAGAAGCTGGCGCCGCTGACCAAGTGGCTGTTCCTCGAGCCCAACCCCATCGGGCTCAGCACCGCGCTCTGCCAGCTCGGCCTCGTGCGGCCCGTGTTCCGCCTGCCCTACACGCCCTACAACGAGGCGCGGCGACGCGAGTTCGTGGATATTGTGCATGATATCGGGCTGGAGCATTTCATTGGTGCAAAGGAAGTTCGCACGCTCAAGGATGATGATTTCCACCTCATCACGCGCTTCTACTAGCTGCCTCGCTACATGTTACCGAGGATCCCTTTCTGTTTTCTTAGAATGTTGAAAATACGTCCATCAACCTCAGATGTACTAGAGCAACGCCAAGGGTTCAAAAGGCCAGTTTGCTCCTGGTTTCTTAAATATTTAAGTTTATTTTTGTGTCATGACTGGGAGGCCTTTCTTTCAGAAGTTACATACCGTGTGTGTACGTCTTTAGCTGTTTATGTTGCCTTTTTGTTATGAAATCCATTTTACAGCTAGTGCAATCAGCTCAAAAACAGTTACATGGTGTTTCTACCCTTATATAGATGTGCTGGCATGGCTTTGTGACTCCGTAAAACAAAGCTGAACAGCCTGACTAATCAAGAGAGGTGGTACCCTGAGGGAAGGTGCCCTGTATGTATGGTGGGTTATGGGCTTGCTTACTCTGCCCAGCGCTTGCTCATGTGGCAGCCACATCCATAACCACACACATACACACCACCATCATTGGTCCATAGTGAAGAGACAACCCCAACCCATAATCCATTTCACATCAAACTCTAGCTGCTACCGTAATCACCATGCATGCCCTTCCGTTCTGTGTCTCCCCAAACCTTTACTGCTGAGCCGAGCCGACCCCTAAAAATGTGGCAGACATACCTCAACTATTGGAGGCATTTTGGCTTGTCCATGCATAAAAAAATACCCTGATTCGGTTTGAGTTAATTTCATGAATATTTGTGTTTCCATGCAATACACAACATACATGTATATCAAATATCGCTCATCGTAATAAGAATAACAAACCGTAGAAAATGGGACGATTTTCATGTGAATCGAAAACAGTATCTTGGTGGGGTGTTGAGTAATTTCAATCTCTATCCACTTAGGGACTGCTAAGGATGTGGGTCAATAATTATTGTTTTTAAGTTGATAATGGAACCACTGTAGTAAGGAAGCTGCACGTCAACAAAACTGGTGCATTCTGCAGTGAGTTCTCCGCGGCT